ATTCTGTTGTATACTTTTCGCTCATACATGAAGTCTATATGAAACCTAATGAAATTTGACCTAGAGCCTCCAGTCTAAATCGTCAACTTTCAAATAAAAAAATACATCATTTACAGCAGTGCCAACCATTTTTCCAGCACCAAGTAAGATAGTGCCCAGGTTTATGTATATATCCACTTGGAGAATATTTTATTTTTTTTAAATTGGTAAAGTCCTTAATGGACAATGACCCCTATAACTTATAATAAGAAGCCAATTAATGATTTCTGTCACTTATTTTCTTGTCCATAATGATTTTCTTGGTTCTTTGCAGCTTCTCTCTATCTATAAGTGTTTTCAAAGAAAAAAAAAATCAAAAATCTGTAAAAATTGTTAAAGTCCATGAATTATTTTGGTATTGCTTTGATTAATTTGTAGATATGTTTTTTTTAATGTCAACAGTCTCTCTCTCTCTCTCTCTCTCTCATAGTTTTCATAAGTGTGGTCTAAATTAAAATCGGTAGATTTTTTTTAATTATTTGCCAAAATTAGTTTATTCTTTTTTGAAAAACATAATAAAAAGTTTGGGCCACAGAGCATTTTGCAAGCTACAGGTTATGCAGTATTGTCAGATTTTGTATAAACTATACATGGAAAACTCAATGTTAGAAAATAAAAATAAAAATTGGGATCACGAGACTCGTTTTCTGTCTACAAAACAAAATAGATAAAGTCCCTACACATTCCATCATTAGAGACGAAATATGCCAAAGGGATTTCAAACTCATAAGTCGAAAACAGACTGACAATGCCATAGCAAAAAAATCAAAAAAATCAAAAACGACAAAAAAATAATGTTATCCGAGTTATCTCCCCTATATGGAAAAGTTGAAAAACATATGCAAAAAACGTTCTGTATTCAAAAACAAATAGTCGTTTTAATCAGATAAATCTCATAATTTTCTTCATCAGATAAATCTCATAATTTTCTTCATCAAGATGAAAAGTACTACATATGAATAACATTCCTCTCTCAAAATATGTATATTTTTTTAGATCTAGACCGATTGTGTTGAGCTATATGAGAATCTAAGGGAGCTACCATGTGATTTTTATGGGGGGGGGGGGGGGGGGGGTAGCTAGGACGAAAAATTTTGTCCTGCCTTTTTTTAGTTGTAATCTCTGTCCTGCCTTTTTATTTTTCACTCTATTCGGTCCTGCTTTTTTTATTTATTAGTTTATTCTGACTTTTTTTTTACATAAATTGTCATCCTGCCTTTTTTTTTTGCCAAGTTGCTCATCCTGCCTTTTTTTACTCAAAACTCCTGTCCTGCCTTTTTCAAATTTCATTCTAGCCCCCCAATAAAAATCAAATGGTAGCTCCCAAAAATAAAACGAAATAAACGAGAGAAAAAAGATCAAAAGCCAAACAACAGTATATTAAGCGCAACATATAGAAAATCAAAAACTGAGCAACACGAAACCCTCAAAAAAGGGGTGATCTCAGGTGCTCCAGAAGAGTAAGCAGATCCTGTTTCATATGTGGCACCCGTCACTTGGCGATTTTGCAAATAAAGAAGGAATGTGTTATAATTTACGAGGTAATCCCAAAAAACATGAACTACTGGGTGTCAAATCGATGAACGTGCTTAAAATATGCTCCTTTTCATAAAAAAAGAATTGATGGAAATGTATTTGTATTTAGTGTACAGTGGCAAATATTACATGCATATAAGGACGAGAATATGTAAGTGTAATATGAATATGAATAAATCTTGGCTCTGTACAAGACATATTTTGCTTGCTTAGCCGAATTTTTAACAAACTAGTTGACAAACCGACTCTGACAATCTATGGAAATCCAAATAGCTTCGGTTTTGATTAAGTCCAGATTTTTTGGTTTTATTTCGGGGAAAAGGGTGCGTTTTACGTACAGTGGCAAATATCACATGCATATCAGGACGAGAACATGTAAGTGTGATATGAATATGAATAAACCCTGCTTTGTTACAAGACATACTTTACTTGCCTAGCCGAATTTTCAACGAACTAGTCGACAAACTGTCTCGGACATTCTATGGAAATCGTAATCGCATCGCTTTTGATTAAGTCCAGATTCTTTTGTTTTATTTCGGGGAAAAGGGGTGCGTTTTACGTACAGTGGCAAATAGCACATGCATATCAGGACGAGAACATGTAAGTGTGATATGAATATGAATAAACCCTGCTTTGTTACAAGACATACTTTACTTGCCTAGCCGAATTTTCAACGAACTAGTCGACAAACTGTCTCTGACATTCTATGGAAGTCGTAATCGCATCACTTTTGATTAAGTCCAGATTCTTTTGTTTTATTTCATGGAAAAGAAAATTCAAATTTTCAGATACCTCTAACAAGACCGGGGGTGGGGTCACATTCTGATATAGCTCTGACCCTCTCAGTCCTACGCTAATCGTATTATTTGTCATATCAGTTGATCTTTGTTTTTTAAGATTAAGACTCCAGATTCTTATGTTCTATTTCGTGGAAAACGGGAGTGGTAAATACAAATTCTCCGCTAACTCTTACATAGATGTGATTTTATTTGAGTAAAATTTGACCCTCACAGTCATAAGTCTTATAAGCACAATATTATGTTGTATATATTAACACACAACATAGATAAATATTTTCTTAAATATTGTTCATAAAAAAAAGTCTGGTTTTTAATCATAAAAAAAAATCCAAACAAAACATGTAAAATATACGGCAAAACTATATTCAAGTGTAATATATAGCGATGGGTAATTCTTTTGCTTATTGAATCATTTTGCCTCCGAACTTGCAAATGAAGAAGAAAAAGTCCTTGGGATTTGTCCCTCATTCTTTTCCATAGAATTGCAGTTTCAATTCACATAATTCTGTAATGTTTTACGCATCATTATTGTCTTTCAATTTAACATAAAACGATCTAATATTTGTACTATATTCGAAGTCAACACCAAAAATCTTCAATTCTGCACAAGTATATGTCATCCTATCATTGTTTTATTTTGACTTTACGTTCTGTTTTTATAACTTAACATTTTACTGTTTCAAGTCAAGACCAAACTACTTCAAATTTACATCGTGTAGTTTCAAGTCAACACATTGTATGATAAGCCTCTCGTGACGTCATAATGATATAACATCGTGCTATCTTAGCTCAACAACACGTACTTTCAACTGTACGTCGTGTAGTTTTGAATGAGCATATTGTATGGCAAGCCTATCGTGATATTATTATGATATAACATCGTGCTATCATAGCTCAACATCACATACTTTCAACTGTACGTTGTGTAGTTTTAAATGAGCAAATTGTATAATAAGCCTACTGTGACATTATAATGATATAACATCGTGCTATCGTAGCTTAGCATTACAAAATTTCAACTGTACGTCCTGTAATTTCAAGAGAGCATCTTAGCTCAACACGTTGCATGGTGTTGTTTTAAGTCAATAAATTGTATGGTAAACATTTCGTTTCAATATAGTGGTGTAGCATCGTGTTATCTTAACTTAACATCATATACTTTCAACTGTGCATCATGGTGTTTTAAATCAACAGATTGCATGATAGACCAATCGTAATATCACAATGATATAACATCGTACTATCTCAGCTCGACATTTATTAATAACAAGGCAGCACCATACATTTTAGCTATTCATTTTATTTGTTATCATAGCTGTCGATGTGGATGACTGAGCAGTATCAATCTGCAAGCTAACATCATGCAACGTCAACTTCACATCATGTACTTTAAATCCAACGTCACGTGTGTTTGGCATATCATCACAACATCGTGACTTATCATTATACTATCACGACTAAAGCACTTGTCATTGCAAGTCAACATTGCGCAAATTCAACTTTGCATATTGTAATTTAGAGTTAGCATTTTGGTGACTCAATTCAACATCACGCTGTCTTAACTTTACATTTTAAGCTTCAGCATAACGTTTTGTAAATCTCTAATATATGACAGCTGAGGCTTTCCATACACATGTACTACATTTATATATATAATTAGTTGAGTTAATAGAGTGTTCACCTCAGGACTTTTATACCTTACCTTGTCAGATGCTACATGTATTTTTTTAAGCTTACATTTTGTACATGTATCAAAATAATTTCTGTAAGGTTTGGTTTACTTAGAAGCATCATCGTGTATAAATTTCCATGAACAAATTTTCTCTATGGGCAGCTATTAAAAATCTGTTTAATATGAAAACATATTCCTATATTTACATATTGTTTGTCAAATGACAGTGTACAATGTACATGTTTGTTTTGTTTATTGTTTATTGCTGTACATGTTGACTTATATAGTAACAATCCAATTGATTAGATTTTACACTAATGGAATATCTTATCTAATATGCACTGAAAAATACTTAAATGAATGATTGAAATTGAATAAACATGATTACACAAAATATACTATAATACTATAAAGTTTATTTAACCCAATTGATGCCCCACATATTTAAATACCTTGAGAAGATTTATGACAGTTTTTGTGGCATAGTGTAAATAATGGCAACTTTGATTTAGGAACCCCTGAGCCCTGTTTAAGTTTACGCTTTACTAATGTTCAAACCAGTTATATTATGTATAATTTATTCTATAAAATTTAATGATTAATCTAAAAACTTACTGGACTAAGGTATGTTTTGATAATTGGGTGTATTTTATTTAAATTGTTAAACCTTAAGTAAGCTTATAATAGTACAAAATGTATATTAAAAGAAGAAAAAAATATTATGTATTTTCATGGGAATTTATTAATCACTGTGTTTAATCCAAGCAGAACAAGAGACTTTTAAAAGTTTATACAAACTCTCTTAAAATTTGCATACCTACATGTTATACTGATGAATGATCTTTCACAATCACAGGTAAGGAAAACAACCATGTTTACAATTTACACCATGCCATCACTATTTCATGATACAAGTAAAATTACACACTACTAATCATAGGACACAAAAATCAATACCTGTGCTAACAGCAGTGGAAATTGAAAACATTCTTTCTTTTTGGGATTATTCAGTGCACTGTTAAAAGAAGACATTAAAATTGTGTGTATTGTAAGTGTTAATTGACATTGACTTATCTGAACTAAAACTAGAATAATCACACAATGTATGTGTTATACAAACCAGTGGTTAAGCAAGGAGATAGTGAGGTACACAAACAGAATGAACAGGCCCAGCCTTCTACCTCAGGTATACAGTTAGACTTAGGACCTTATAATCAGCCATTAGACATTAGATCACAAACAGTTCTTCAGACACAAATGTCAAGTGGATCATCAAGTTCCAGTCAAGGACAATCCTTTCTACAAAGTCAGCCATTTGTTCAGAGCATTCAATCTCAAGGTCATTTGCAACATGTGATTCAAGGACAACAAGCTGTTCAGGGTACCAGTACATATGTCCAAGTGGGACAGCAGCTGTTTCAGGTGCAGCCAATGGCTACAGGTCAAAATCTAGGACACTCACTTTCAACAGATATAAACAATGCAAATCTTTCTGTGAAAATCGGTCAGATTTCACCACTACTAAATATTAATTCATCTGATAATCCATCACAAAGACAAATTATTACTCATATCAAGTCTGAACCATTAAGCAAACAGCATGAAAATATTCCCTCAACATCGGAAATTGAAAATACTTGTATCAAAACTGAAGTGTTAGACCCAGAATATGAACAGCATGATAGTGCTAATTCAACTGTAGGTATTGCAAGTACAAACCTATATTCAGGAGAAGTGTATCCAACAGGTTTAGTGACAAATGTTTGTATGTTGAATGATCAAAGTGGTAAAGTATCATGCGCCAATACAGACACCAAAACACACCTTCACAATAAAGAACAAACACAAATTGACCCAAACTCCAAAATAAACTGGATGGATAAGGCTTTAATTCATTGGAAAAAATGGGCAACATCTAAACAAAAACATCTGGCGAGTAAAGGTTTAACCTGCACAAGTTTTATGGAACTTATTAAATGCATTAGGAGTAAAAAACAGTTGCTGGAACTAGTGTTTGAATTTGCTTTTGATTTGGTCGATGAAAATGGAAAAACCTATTCATGGGATTACATGTCAAAAATAATATCAATGCTTGAAGAGGGAAGTAAAGAAGCATTAAGATGGATCGATGTGAAGATGCTTTATGTAGCAAAAACAGCCTATACAGCTCGTAAAAAAGATATAGCTGATGAAATTATTATTAAAAAACTATCTGAAATGAAACCACAACAGAAACCTGCTTTGCAGCAGCTTAAACCAATTTTACCAAAACCAAATTCTTCTCAAAGTTCATGCAATTCAAGTGAAGAAGGTTCTGCATATACGAAAGATGATTTAAGGGAAAAAGATTTAGAAAGAGACGATCTTCAGGCAAATTGTGAGAATGATGAATCAGCTGGAGTTCAAGCTATGGTTAGCACAATTGTGACAAAGAGCACCAGTAACAAGGTATTAAGTTGTAATGTTACAAGCAGTTCATACTTTCCATCATCATTAGAAAAAAGTAATAAAAAGAAGAGAGAAAGAGATGAAGAAACCAGGTCAGAAGCTTCTGTTAAGAAAATTAAAAAAGAGCCTATAGAAATAACTGACATTGAAATCTATCCAAAAGAAAAACCAGGTGAAATCACCAGCGATAATACTTGCACTGTAATTCATGCTAATATTAATGAAAATATGACCTCTGCTGGGGGTTCTGAAAACTCGTTATATACTAGGGTAGCCATGCAGAGTATGATACCTACTGAAATCCTTTGCCAAGGACCATTCTGTATTGAAAATGTGACTTCTCTAGCAAATGAAGCCTCTGATAAGGTTCCTGTTGATAGATATAATTTTCTGGAAGGTAGAGATCATTGTGACATAAATAAAGCTTTTGCAGCAGACAATGTAGACAATACTTCAGCATCAAAGAACACTGCCGTCAGCACTGATATTGAGAAAATTAACTCATCTGTTCCAGGAAACACCTTGAAGAATAATAACTGGGCAAACAATACTTGGAACGATTGGGCAAAAGCTAGAAACAAGATTAATGTAGATCCAAACGAAAAACCTGTGCCTTTACTACACACTGTGTTCAAAAATGTGACAGAAGAAGAATTGAATGAATTGTTGATTAAATTTATATATGAAGTAAGGAATGGTGCTGGTGCTCCTTATCCTCCAAATTCAATTAGATCATTAATTGCTGGATTTCAGCGCATTTTCAGACGGTCAGGTTGGACTAATTTAAGCTTGTTTGATTCCACAAAGAAAGAGTTTTCCAAATTTCATAAAGCATTAGATGATCGATGTTGTGAACTGATAAAACAGGGTATTGGAGTATCAAAAAAGCAGGCTCAAATGATAACAGACCAACAAGAACAAGTTCTGTGGGAAAAGGGAGTGTTCAGTCTTGACATGTCATGGGGTTTGTTATATGCAGTGTACTTTTACACTTGCAAAGTTTTCTGTGTTGGCCCATCATACGAACTCTGGAAGCTGCGTGTTAGTCAGTTTGCATTTGGTGAAGATGAAACTGGAAAATATGTGCAATTTACCTCCAGAGTTACTGTTTCATCCAAGAAAATCAAGCCAGTTAAACAATATAAATGTGAAGACAATCCTCGTACTTACTATAATATGCTGGAAAAATACATGTTGATAATTCCTAAAGTAAATGATATATTCTGGTTTCGTCCTTCACGAGATTTCTCTAGCTTACCGATAAGTAAGAGTAGATTAGTATTTTCAAGATGTCCTTTAGGGAAAAACATGTTAGATAATTTAATCTCAAAAATGATGAAACATGCTGGCTACAAGGGATATTACACTAATCATTCAGTCAAAGCAACCATGGCAGCTAAAATGTTTAAACAAGGCTACCAAGAAGAATTTATACAGGAAAGGACAGGCCACTCATCAACAATTACAGTGAAAAAGTATAATAAAGGAATTCATAATGCAGAAGCAGTAAGAGCAGATATCAGTAGCACACTCGATCCTCCACCACCTAAACAAGTAAAACATTCACATCTTGTTAATAATGGAAACAAAAATGTCTCTGTGGGAAGTACACAGGTCAGAGTTGTAACACTACCAAAAGTGCCAGAGGTTTGTACAAATATTTTAAATCTGCTAAATTTATTCAAATTTAGCTCATAACAGTTATATGATATATTGATATTGGCGTTTAGATATATCGTGAATGTAGAGAAATGTCCGTCAGCACTATTTGAATTTAAATCCTGGGCATTTTCAGGCAGGAAAGAATATCATTTTTTTGGGCATAAAACAAGTCAAATATTTTTGAATGTTAATTACTGTCCTGCTGCATCTAACATCAAATCCTTGATTCATACTTGCAACTATTGATGTTCTTAAAACAGCACTATTTTTTTAACATTTACACTTGTTTGAACATGATAGAATTGATATTTGTTTATATGTCTAGTCTTTTTTGATACATTTCAATATGCATTCCCATTTCAAATGCCAAAAATAACAAACCTAAACAACACAGGTCATATCTTGACATAAGCATAAAAACTGAAATGTCAATTTCACTTTATGAAAACAAATGTCAGACCTTGAAACTTAATGGCTACAGGCATTCATTTGATGTACTGTGGATTCATTATTATTCGTTGGATACCAATTTTCGTGGGTTTCGTGGGTACTGGGGAACCACAAAATCAAATGTTCAACGAATAACAAATTTTCTACAGGCTTGTATGCAGACTTCAGCAAAACCACGAAATTAAATATCCACGAACATGTAAGTTTTCTTGAATCCACGAAAATTGGTACCCACGAAATATATATGATTATAGCCATTACGAATGCTATAGATATAGAAATCAAATTTATGATGCAAATGACAATAAAGTGATCTTAGATATAATACCTCATGGAACAGCTGACTGAATTGCATAAGTTGATAATGGTTATTGTAGCATTTTAGCTAATGTTATCTTTTTCATTGGCATTCATGAGTCACTCAGCTTAGTCAATACTGTCCCAATTTGAGACATGTTATTCTATTTCTTTGGATTGACATTTGATCATTATCTGGCGATGAAAAAACTTTTTGAATTGAAGATTTTAGAATGAAACAAACATATATTTTTTCCTTAAGATGTTTTCAGTAGGTGATGAAAATACAAAAAAGGATACTGTTGATTCATTATTATTCGTTGGATATCAAATTTCGTGGATTTCGTGGGTAAAGGTTACCCATGAATTCAAATGTTCAACGAAATACAAATGTTCTATAGGCTTGTATGCAGACTTTGGCAAAACCACGAAATCAAATATCCACAAAGATGCAATGTTTCCTCAATCCATGAAAATTGATACCCACGAAAATAAATATCCACAAAGATGCAATGTTTACTCAATCCTCAAAAATTGATACCCACGAAAATAAATGAATCCACAGTATAGATGTTTGGTACATGTAAGGTACATTTTTAACTCACCTGGCCCAAAGGGCCAAGTGAGCTTTTCTCATCACTTGGCGTCCGTCGTCTGTCGTCGTCCGTCGTCGTCCGTCGTCGTTAACTTTTACAAAAATCTTCTCCTCTGAAACTACTGGGCCAAATTAATCCAAACTTGGCCACAATCATCATTGGGGTATCTAGTTTAAAAAATGTGTCCGGTGACCCGGCCAACCAACCAAGATGGCTGCCATGGCTAAAAATAGAACATAGGGGTAAAATGTAGATTTTGGCTTATATCTCTGAAACCAAAGCATTTAGAGCAAATCTGACACGGGTTAAATTGTTTATCAGGTCAAGATCTATCTGCCCTGAGATTTTCAGATGAATCTGACAACCCGTTGTTGGGTTGCTGCCCCTGAATTGGTAATTTTAAGGAAATTTTGCCGTTTTTGGTTATTATCTTGAATATTATGATAGATAGAGATAAACTGTAAACAGCAATAATGTTCAGCAAAGTAAGATCTACAAAAAAGTCAACTTGACCAAAAAGGAGTTATTGCCCTTTATAGTCAATTTTTAACCATTTTTCGTAAATTTTTGTAATCTTTTACAAAAATCTTCTCCTCTGAAACTACTAAGACAAATTTAACCAAACTTGTCCACAATCATCATTAGGGTATCTAGTTGAAAAAATGTGTCGGATGACCCCGCCCGCGAACCAAGATGGCCGACATGGCTAAAAAATAGTACATAGGGTAAAATGCAATTTTTGGCTCATATCTCTGAAACCAAAGCATTTAGAGCAAATATGACAAGGATTACATTGTTCTTTAGGTCAAGATCTATCTGCCCTGAAATTTTCAGACCAATCAGGCAACACGTTGTTGGGTTGCTGCCCCTGAATTGGTAATTTTAAGAAATTTTGCAGCTTTTGGTTATTATCTTGAATATTATTATAGATAGAGATAAACTGTAAACAGGAATAATGTACAGCAAAGTAAGATCTACAAATAAGTCAACATGACCAAAATTGTCAATTGACCCCTTAAGGAGTTATTGCCCTTTATAGTCAATTTTTTACAATTTTCATAAATTTTGTAAATTTTTGTAAATTTTTACAAAATATTTTCCACTAACTACTGGGCCAAGTTCATTATAGATAGAGATAATTGTAAGCAGCAAGAATGTACAGTAAAGTAAGATCTACAAACACATCACCATCAGCAAAACACAATTTTGTCATGAATCCATCTGTGTCCTTTGTTTAATATGCACATAGACCAAGGTGAGCGACACAGGCTCTTTAGAGCCTCTAGTTTTTGTACCTTTTGGATATTGACTGAGTTGAATTGATGTTCATCTGCTAAAAAGTGTTATAAACTAAATGTGTCGGAATGACACAAATGGCCCCGCTCGCAAAAAAAGCTTGATGCCATTTTTAGGAGTTGAAATTTGAGAATGAAAGCTAAGTCCTTATAACTGTTATTTTCACTCTATTTTCTTTGTCTGAAGACCCTAATTTCATCAAAAATCAGCAAAGCGTAACCAAACTTAAGCTCGATATGTAACTCATCATAGTAGACTGGCATACATAAAATCAGCTTTATATGTGAAGGCTTTTAGAAAAAAAAAGGTCTGTATAACAGTTTGTATAACAGCGGGGCCATAAAAATGTGAGCTAGTACCAGTCAATTACAATTTCATTATTGTTTTATTCCTCCACCAATAAAAACTGGACATCATGATATAGCCTGCCAAGATTGCTTAAAACAGTGTTTAATCACCAACGAAATATGAAAGAAACATTAAGATATACACACTGAAGAAACTACAATTATTGTTATAAAAGTAAAGATCAATGATGGTTCCTGTAGTGGCATACATGTACAAGTTCATCCAAACTCACTTTAGAAACAACAGTCAGTGGCAGTGATTGTCTTGGTTTCTTCCTTGCATAAGGTGCTTTATATAATTGCTTACATCCACTTCATTTGAATTTTGGTGGATAGTTGTCTCGTTGGCAATCATACCACATCTCCTTATTTTCATATTAATGTTCTGTTTATTGTTTTTATAACTTGTCTGTATCTAGGGGAATTCAGAGTTTGTCAATTGAAAAGGGGCTCTCTTTAGCTTAAAATCTAAATTTATATATATATATATATGCCCATTGTTGTTTCTATTCTTATTTTTGTCACCATTTGGTAATTTGATAGTCTTAAGACTACCTTTTTGCATGCACGTCAGTATGGAAAGTGCGAACTCTATCATTGCATAGTTTTCAGATTGTACAGAAATATTTGCAAAAACTACAGCATTTTAAATTAAAAAAAATGAGCAGAAGTAGAATGAAGCATAGAACACTGATCTATTTTCCTAAGAAATGAAATTAATTGAAGTTAAAAGCAAACTTGACCATGAAAAACAAGTATCTGATATTGTATATACATGCATAAAGTTTAGATAGTTTTCAATTGAAATACAAATATAATTTGTGCTGGAATTATTTCCCTTGGCTACCAAATTGGAGGATAAACTGGTTGTATTTCTCTGTTGACTAACCAAATAAAAACATGTAGTACAAGCAAATGTGATAAATGATCCTGACTAGATTGTAATGAAGAACTACATGTTTACAAGGCTCGGCTCGAACATGTTAGACTTGTTCAGAAAACAACTTTTATTATTAAAGTCTAGCTGTCAGTTTGACATTTTGAATTTGGTTGATTTATGAAGAAATTTGTACAGGTTGACCTTCAAAATGGTGATAAAGGGAGGTAACTCTTTCTAAAATTAGGTCAATTTAAAAACGATCTATTCTGATATTCAGATATCTTTGATATCCTGACATAGAATAATACATAATGATGATTATTAATAATAGACAAAATTATATCAGAAAATATATACCAGTACGAACTATTATTGACAGCTGAAAATGATAAGGAATTGAACTGCAGCTTTATGTTTATTATTTTCTGATCATTCGTATTGATAGTAAAGTATTTACAACAGAGAAGGAGGAGAATTTGCCACCATGAATTCATTATTGATTTTAGGTAAAGTAATTATAGAATAAATGGTGTTCATGCCAGGCTTTCATGGCTATAGAGAAGTTCTGCAGCTTGGGCACATCCCTTCAAAATTGGTAATGGTCCCTAAATGCGCATTTATATCCCAAATATTCCATTGTTGGCATACATTTATTCTGAATTAATACTCTATGCTTGAAATGGCGCATGTTACTGAAGAAAATGCAAAACTTTCCCTCAAAGTTGAAACTGAATTTCATGCTAATTACAAGGTAAACCCATGTAAACTCCTTAAAATTGACACTTTTAAAGACAGCTAACTTTTAAAAGGACAAGGTTCATATCGGGGCTGATTTCACCAAAACTGAAACATTACCAAATGTCATTTCTAACCAAAGATTTTAAGCATCAGAAGAAAGGTTTTCAGAAAGTGTGAATATAAGCTGAGCATTGATGACATAACTTGACTGTGACTTCATAAGTCAGCTTTGTAAGTTATTTAACATAATAGACTAATTGTAAGAACATTTTGGTTAAATAAACTTAGAGCACAAGTTATGCCAAAAAATAATTTGTTGCCAGTGAATAGATTAACACAAATTTGAATTATTCTTACTGTTGAAATATCTCTTTCAGCGACAGTTGGGTTCCATATTATCTCAAAGCATGTACAAGACAAGTGCAAATAGTCAATGTTTTGCATAATTTTTCCATTTTACTGAATTTGCTCTCATTTCATTGCTGTATGTACATGTTACCTACATGAAAATGGTTTATTTTTTTTTATCAAAACAGCACTGTATTAAAGTACAATACATTTAATATTTAATTCTGAAAATCAGAGATAGTTTGAAATATATTTGAATTTAGTACCTCCTCCTTGCATGCCTTGTGGTTTGAGTTTCCTTGGAAAACATGATTCTTTTTTTATGCCCCTGCCGTAGCTAAGGGGGCATTAAGTTTTACCCTTGTCCATCTGTACGTCCGTCCGTACGTCCCAAAATTGGTTTCCGTTTTCTAACTTTAGTTTGCCTCAACCAAATGTTATGAAACTTATACACAGTGCTTAATACCACTAAACACAGATCAAGTTTGAATTTTGGTGGCGTCACTTTTACTATTCTTGAGTTATGTCCCTTTATAAGGTTATATGCAAGCGGGGGCATCATCTGTGTCCCATGGACACATTCATGGGACACATTCCCTATTTATTTTTTGATGATATGTATGTTGATACAATAGGTAAAAGGACTTGGTTAGTTGTGCAATTGAGAAATAACTATTCCTTTTGAGAAATATTTTCAGTGTTCTGGGTAATGTGTCAAACACATTTATAATATACATGACGCACAGCTTTATCTCTAGATTAGATGCAAATTTTAACATAATCAAAGTTATTGACATCTAAACCAGTATTGTTTTCAGACATCTTTTATTGTTAGATTGCTGTTGTACTTAATGATATAAAAAAAAATACCTAAAGTGACACAACCTTGACAGAACAAATTCAAAAAGAAATGAACAACATTATTAATCAAAACTTTGGCAGTTAAAGGGATACTTACTAACATAATGTAAGTTGGAGATGAGGATGAAATAAAATTTAATTGTAAGAATGACCACTTCCAGTGGCATCTCTTGAATGGTTGAAGTATTTCTGTTATGAAAAAGTATATATCTGTTTGGTAGATGGTATCATCACTACTAATCAAGTTATCTTTCACCACATGCAGATTTTTTATACAGGAAGTTAAAAAAGTTAACAGTCAAGGACTTCCCATAAATTTAAAATTGACTTATCTAAAATTGTGAGATAGAATCTTATCCATAGTGTTAAGAGAGATTTTCTTAAAAAAAAAAATAATAAAGATCATGTACTTCTCATAGTAGTTTAATTTCACAAATCTTTTTCTTACAACATTAAGCTTGAATATTCCATTTTGAAATAATTGCATATTGCTAAATGTAGAACTGTCTCATTAAAAATGTCTCGTGGTAGTGTGATTGGATCCCTAGCAATGGTCAAAACAAAGTCCTGATTTTGAAGTTTGTATTTGGAATCGGAATACATTTAAATGTTATGTGTTAATGTGGGATAACTAAGTGACTGACTATCCATGTACGGTAGGTTTGTCATTGTAATTAGGCTCAGAGTCGGTTTAATATAAAGAATTGTTGGTTTACTCATATAACTTATTAGTTTTTGTCTGTGATATTGTTGGGAGATTGCCTGCTTGTCAATTGGATCTTGTTGGAAATAATCTCTATATTTAAATTAAAAAGTTGAAAAACAAACAATTGTTCCCTAAACTAAACACTTTAACAGCTGTTCATCCATTCAATATTGTAGTTTTTAGTTTCTTTGATCTCTTCCAGTCATCCTAAAAATTGTTTGAATATTTAATAGATCATGTTCAGTAATATGGTATAGGCTTCTTTTTTTCCCTATGAACTTTATGAATAACATGAAAGTATCAAAAGCAATATAGTTTGACATAATATATATAGTATCATTATACCTTATTGTACATAATTATCCAGTACATACATAGTAACACCTTTCAGCAATATTGGATAAAACTATGTTTGCTATTTTATCTGACTTGCTGAAGATTGATGTTTGAGAAATTGTTGCCAATTTTGAAATGTTTGTTTTTGTACTTGGGTGGCAATGCAAAACACTTTATTCATTTTGTTATATAAAACAATTTATTGAATTGTTTTACATACACTTGGTACAATGAACTGTTATTTTACTTATGTTGTGTCAGATATGAAATGTTTTTATGTTAATGTTATAAATGTCTAATTGCTGCCATATTGAAATATTATTACATACAGTAGTATTGTATGCCAATGAATAAATTCTACCTCATAGTCAAGTTGGAAGTAAGGCCAAAAAAAAAAATTCTGTTTCCTGCCTCCATACCTACAATGTGCCTATACACAGTTTATGGACATTTTTGGTTGATAAGCTCCTTTAAAATCCCGAACATTTCCCTATATGGTCTATGTTAAATATGTTTTCAAAATAAACTATATTACCTACCTATGTCTTTTAACCTACCCTATTTTTCTTGTGTAACTCAGGAGAGCATGATTCATATTACAAAATCAGTTTGTCTCCATTGGGACTTGAACCTGGGACCTCTGTGTTACAAGGCAGCAGTGTCTTTAACCGACTGAGCTGAAGAAGTACTTCCTTAGCTCTACTGCTAATGGCTGACTTAAGTATCTACTATTCAAGGGAAACAATCCTGTCACACTTGTTTACAGGAAATAAGTATATATATTGTTTGGCCTAATTGAAGTTGTGAAAACAAAAATTTCACTCTTTGACAAGCAGATTAAACTGTTGAGATATATCTTATTATATAGCAACAGCAAAATTTAAAAAAAAATGTGGTACTTCTAAATAAACAGAGACTCGAAATACTGACTTTTTACATATATGTTCTTGTTACTTTATACAGAAAAGTAAAAATGGAATTTTTGAAATACAGATTTTGATAAATGTTATACAAGGATTTATATATCTCTTGCAGTTTACTTGACCCATATTCCACAGTTCACTGAACATATAAATGTGATGGTGCAAGTTGGGCATCGTGACCTATATATGGATACATATTCTTGACATCAAAATGAATTTTAAGATGTTTGCTGCCATACAGACAAGAGTCAGCAAGTCTGTTATTTATTAACAAAAAAAGGCTTGAAAGAAAAAAAAGAATTATAACTTGCAGTAAATTATCTATCTTATTTTTACAGAAACAAAGTGAACATCTACAGGACCTAGAAAACCAGACCAAATCTTACGAAGATGTCCAGGCAAGTTCAAAGATCTCACAACAGGAAATTGAAATTCTTCAGAGAGAGAAAGATAAACAAAATAAAGAGATACTTATCCTGAAAAAGACAGTTGACGAAATGGAACTTAGAATAGAAACACAAAAACAAACGTTGAGTGCTAGAGATGAGAGTATGAAAAAACTATTAGAAATGTTACAAAGTAAAGGATTGTCGGTACAGAAAATAGAGGATAATCAACAGGAAGTGGAACATCTACAAACACGACAGTTGGAGGACGATCGGAAAATTAAACAGTTACAAAATACTGCTAGTCAGAATGAATTAGAAATGTCTAAAGTAAAAGAGGTGAGTTTTGAATTTAACTTAGATATAAAGTTAGATATATGGACATTGGGAAAAGGGGGGATACATTAGCATGCTATAAGAATGGGGGAGGGGGGGGCGGTGTAGGACCTTTATCGGGACTCCGGGATCGGGTGTTTTTAAGCTCAGGATTTCGGGGTGTTGATCCTTTCTGGATCCAGGAATTCTTTTTTCAAATTTCAGGATGTCAGGATTTAAATTTTTTTTAATTCAGGACCTCGGGATTCCATGTTTTTAAGCCTGGGATTTCGTGATCAGGACCCCTCCTACCCACCCCCCCAAGAATTAGTGAAAAAATGAAAGTATGCAGTCAGAATCTAAATGTTTTTGTAAGAAGGATGCCAAATAAAGGCAACAGTAGTATACCGCTGTTCGAAATTCATAAATCGATTGAGAAAAAAACAAATCCGGGTTACAAACTAAAACTGAGGGAAACACATCAGATATAAGAGGAGAACTACTCTTCTTCAGATGGAATAAAAACAATATCAGTAGGAAAGAATACATAAGTTTTTAGAAGTATCCTGGTGAATGGATAATGAGTTCATTATGGCCTATGAACTTTAATAAGCAACTCTCATTTGCCTTTTAAGCATTAATTTCCTTTGGTTACTTCTCCAAAATAAACTTTTTTTCAACACTTATATGGCCATTCATGTGTATTGCAAATAGTATATAATGTGCCATAACTCTGAATATTAGAAAATATGATTTTTCAGCTCTGTAATGTAGGCAAGTATTTATGAAGCCAGAAAGATAGAAAAGGAAATAAAAAATATGCACAGTATTAAACACTTGTCTAATGTGTTAGATGGGCCAGGCAGTAAACAAAGTCAAGATGCTGTACACAAACAAGAGAAATTCAGTTTTATTTGAATCCAAATCTAATCAAAATGTGTTTTAAATTTGATCGGTTATTCAGTTGCACTTTAAAATTTACATTTAATTTAGTACTCTATTTTTCTTCATTTGTATATAAGCTACATATTATTAAATGCAAAAAAGCAATAAAAGAAAATGCTTTTGTGTAATCAAATAATAATCTCAGACCCAACCAATAAGTGTATTATATTTCCTTTTAAAACAATATCATCCAATTCTTCATCACAGACAGACTGTAGACAAGCTAATTAGGTCCTCTATCACATTTGGCATAAGAAGAAATGTCCTCAGACATTGATGTAATTTAGCTGCCGAACCACAATCTATTTCTGCTGCTAACAAGATCTATTCATCATTGCTTGGTTATAAGGTCTGTCATAATACAGTATTAAATACTGGATTTTATTTGCAGCCTATAGTATATGTCCAGCGTTCCATCCTTTGCATTGTTCTGACAACAGCTATTGTCCACTCGGTTTGCCCTTCATGCAAAAGGACATACACGTAGTGGTTTTAGTGATTTGATTTGTCACAATGGGCTATTGTCTGTCTGTTTATCCAGGGGTTAAGTCTTTGATTACATTACTGATTTGATATTATTCGAGGGGGAACAGTTGTGATTTTACAATGTAACTTCACCACAGAATACAGGAGGATAAGGTCTCCAAAATACAGGTGGATAGGATGGTGTGACCTTGACCTCAAGGTCCTGTGTGATTGGTTAAAATTTGGTGAAACATCAGTTTCATGGTTCTTTAATTACATTTAAATTCTTGGAAAACTATCCTGGTAAATTAAGGTAGATTGATGTGAAGCAGATTATGAAATAAAAACTTGACTCCTCTGCATAAAACTTACACATAATACATAAACTTTTTTAAATAATGCTTCAAAGGATGTTGTGACCTCAATTTCATTCTTCAATGATTGTGTTTGAAGTGTATATAGACATGATAGATAGATATGAAATATTGTAGTGTGGTATCACGATTTCATCCCATTACTTATATGCAATGGAGCTTTCAGGAGTTATTTAATCCAGGCATACTTAATGTGGATCATCGTTCAAGAATGAAAACATTTAGATTCACAATTACTAATTTGATGATTTGAATAAATTTGTGTTGCTTTTCATGCAAAAAACACCAGAAATTTAAAAAAAAGTTTGTTTTAAAGTGTAAACAAAAAAATTATGTTGATGCAGTTCAACATTGATCACTGAAGAAACAAGTGTTTGAATTAAAATTCGATTATATGTATTTTAGCATTTCTTTTTTCCAAAAATAAGAGTGGGCATATTGATTTAATGTGTAATGAAATTCACAGTGTGTTTTTCTGCTTTTTGTGTTGTTTCAATAATAATAGCATAGAAATATATATTGAAATAAAATTCTTGTATAGAAGTACCAGGTTTTTCTATTTACCAGTACTACTTCTTTGAAATTTAATTTATTTATTCAGGAAAGAATTTTATTGATTACTTCTTTGCTTGATTAAATTTTGTATCTTAGAATTCTGTAAACGAAAATTACATTAAACTTTCTAGCTGATTGAGATGCTATTCTGTTATATTCATTCTTAAGACTCGCATCTATAAACAACAATATTTGAATAATACATGGCTATTGTATTAATTTATACATTTTCAATGTAAATGAATGGCAAAATAAAGGTATAAAGTTAGCTTTAGAAAAATCCATATTTTTTTATTGATTGCATGAAGGTTAAATAGAGGACTTAAAAAAGTGCTCTATAAAACCATTATATTGCTTGTAATCCCTAAAAATGTAGTAGTTTTAAGCAAAGTCCTTGAAAACAGTGTAGAATGATAAATTAATCATAATTGTATCCTTAAACTGAAAGACATGATTTAAAACTGTGAGTGCCATCACCTTCACTGAGGATTAAAAAAATACTTTCTTGTTGGCCTTAACGGGCACTAACCATGATCAATCGTGTAACATTTTACATACATGTATAGTCATATACATGTATATGAGGAGCTTGATGGGGGGGGGGGGGGGGGGTCTCATCGCGATTCACAAGATGATTTTTTTGCCAATCACGATTCACAGAAAATAAATTTCCATGATCACGGATCACGAAAATATAAAAAAAAAAAAATCTGCAGAAAAACGGATCACGATAGCGAAAATGCGCCGATCACGAAGAACGAAAATAACCCATCAGGCCCCTCGTATATGGTACATGTTTTATGTATTCTTTGTTTCAATGTATTATGTCTGTAACATACAAAGAAAATTAAAAGAGATGTGGGGCCTGGGGTAGATGTTCAGAATATACAAATCAAAATGAAAGAAATAACTCAGGTCTTATTATATTCGCTTACTCATAGATGCCTAGTGGAATAAAATAAATTGTCAATCGATCATTTAGAAACAATTTGTGATTTACCTATCTGATTGTTTCAATTCAATTTAATTCAATTCAGTTCAATTGAATTGAGATCAAGTTCGAGTTTTGTTCCGGTCTGATGATTTTGTGCAGAGTTATGGTCCTTGGACTCAAATAATCAGTTTTCCGTACTTTTTTTCGTCATGCTTGAAGATATTGATTTGATGATTTGTATATAGTTTTATCATGACAAGTTACAGATCAAGTTCAAATTTTGTACCGGTCTGATGATTTTCTGCATAGTTATGGTCCTTGGACTTAGAAAATTCACTTAAATAATCAGTTTTCCACAGTTTTTTACATCATGCTTGAAGATATTGTCTTGATATTTGTTATATAATTTACACCATGACAAGTTATAGACCAAGTTAGCATTTTGTTCCAGTACAATGAATTTTTGACCGAAAGGGGACTATGTATAATGCCATGCAATACTCTCCGAATGCTTGTTGTGTATAGAGTTCAGGCCCTTGTGAGAGGAAAGATTGATTACAGGGAGGCTTGAAATTATTTGGGTGAAAAAAGTTAAGGGTAGATATGCAAAATATTGAATAAAAACAAATGATCTCTAAATGAGGCTATTTCAGCATATTTTGCAGTTTTACACTAAATTCAAGAAGTCTAAAGCAAATTTCAAAACTATGAATACTGATATCTGTTAGACTTATGAAAATGTGAAGGTTGTTATTTGGTAGATTTACATGTATAATACTTTTAAATCAAGAGGACAAAGAAGTGGCCTACTTTGACCTATAATTGTTTACTTTTTACACATTGTGACTTGGATGGATAGTTGTCTCATTGTCACTCATACCACATCTTCTTATTTATATTATCAAACATTCTCCTTTAAATAGTGGTTATCAACTATTTTTCTCTCTGAATCTTTCAAGTTTTGAGCCATATCTATCAAACTTTTAGACGTTTTTCTTTTGATACTCTATATATAGCTAAGGCTCTTTCAAATGCTGTCTTTTCATGTAAAGTTTCATAGGATAGAGATCTACCATCAGTACCATGTATACAACAATTATTTTAAATACTGTGGAATTTACTATTTTAAGAACTCTACATGCATATCTAGTTTAGTAATAAAAATAGGGTTGTGTACATGTATCTGCTTGCAAAGTAATTATTGATCAATGATGTTCCTTTTTTTGTATCTGTTTAATCAGTTACTAAGAAATTTCAGTAACCATATTGCACAAATCCCACATAATTCTAACAAGATGCATAATGCATAATTTTTTTTTTGTAATGGTTTCATCAGAATCTCTCAGCTTACTCTTGATCTTCATGATCACAAAGATCTTGAGGAAAGGAGAAACTAGAATAAATAATATTTACACACTTCCTAGGAAATATGGTAATAAATTTTTAATCTGTGAATTCATATTTTCAGATAAGTTGGAAAGCAGTCATGAACATTTTGATTTCTATACACTCATTATCTTTTGGGCCATTTGGATATTTGATTTCATGGTTTTGCCAAAGTCTGCTTATAAGACTATAGAAAATTTGTTATTTGTTGAACATTTAATGTCGTAGTTCACCTACAACAACTAAATCCACAAAAATTGGTATCCCAGGACTGATAATGAATCCACAGTAGTCAGTTTTTAAAAACTTTCTCATGAAAGGACATGTACCAGGCAAAATGACTTGATTCTTTTTTTGTCTCCTTGTAGCGTCTTGTTTGATCATATCAATTAGAGAGACCAAGCCTTTGTGCAGATCCACTTGTCTAAGTAGAATAATACTTTAAAGGGAATGAAAATCTCAAGTGTAAAAAGTAACTGTAAAATCATTTATTACCTTACTGAATAATGCATTGCTCCTTGATAAATACTTACAAATTGTTGATGACAAAATTATACAAAATAATCACATCAAATATCAGAGGAAACACCAAAAATCACCTCACAATGAAATAATTATAGCAAACAGTTAAAGTCTTCTCTCAATAACATTTGATTCAAAGACAACAGTGACTGGAAAGAGAATTGTACCAAAGTACAAACAAATTGAATCTGAAGCATCTGTTTATGTTGTATTTGAACATCATACTTGAAAATTTGGTAGTTGTTGTTTTAACATATGAGCTATTAACGGGATTATTGACAGCTTAAGGCTATGCTATATAAATTAAATGTTGAGCATGATCCTATGTACCCATACGATTTCATATAATTAACCAGAAAAAAAGAAGTCTTAGATAAAAACAATGCAGATTTCAAAACCTCTTCCTTTAAAAACAAGGCAAAAGTTAAAAAAAAAAAAAATAGTGCTATTATTATAAACCAAATTAATGCAAAAAATGCAACAAGATGAAGACAATAATTTAATGTCTTATTTTCTGTCTTATTTTTTGCCAGAAACTTTCTAATAGAACATGTACATATACAGAAATTGCACTAATAAATCTTTTATTATCGTTAGTTGTTCAAGATTTGCAATAATGAATGTACCTTTTATTAAATTCTCAATATTTAGTATTTCATGTGTTTAGAAATAGAAAATTATTATATTACAATGTACATGTAAATGTATAGCATATATATAATAACAATTTCTATAATTTGTTATTCAGGAAAACAGTAAACTTTCAGATGAATTGAAACACAGTAAACTTCAATTAAAACAGCAACCTTCCAGTACCCATACTATGCAAGCTATCTTAGAAGCCAAGGTAATCTATAAACCTGTTAATGAGAAAATAATTGCGGAAATTACCTGGAATTGTATAAATCATTTCTCTTTGAGATCTGGTGTCCATTTTTATAACCTAATTAAGTGTGCCATGAAATATTGCCAGTAAAATATTCTTTTAAGTGTAGGACTGATCTTTGGATCTTCAATAGATTTATGTTTCAGTTTGGTATTGAACCTGGCAGTGTTTGTTGTGATAAAGAGAGGAGATGATAATGGATTCATTAAATATAGTTTGGCATTTAGCCAGTTGTTACATGTACTTTTTGTATTGTTTATTTACAGAAAGAAGACCATGCATAATTTTAATTATTGTATGAATCACTTTCTTGTTATGAGGTTTTGAAAAATTGTCAAAAATTTCAAAGTATTGATTTGAAGAAATGAGTAAACAGAAAATCTTGTAGGCCAAACAAAATTTATTTTCATTTTATAAGATTTTGAAGTCCTATTTGTACTAAAGTTATTGTATATTTCAATGAAAATATTTTGCTGCGTCCTACCGGCAAAATATGTTTGCGACTCTTGAAAGGTGTAATGAAAAAGTAGCTGTCTGTATTTACATTTTCTTCAAAAAATTATATATAAACTCAAGGACTATATGACATTCACCTTGTTTGTCCTTTTGTCAGATTGTCAAAGAACATTTCTGTGACACTTTTCTCAAGAACTACTTTTCAGAATGACTTAATATTTGGCAGAAGCTTGACAGTGATGAGTTGTAATGTGTTAGCCTTTTTCATCTCTGTCAGACATGGTCACATCTACTTCATGTTTGTGGATACTTAGAATTTTTCAATATGTTGAATGAACTTCAAAATTTTCGACACAAATTTTTCCAGTACTACTATACAGAGTAACTTTATATTTAGTCAGCAGCTTGGAAGTGATGAGTTGTTTAGTGTTAGTACTTTTTGGATCTGCCAGACACATATTTCCTGTTTTCCAATACTTTGTTTTAAGAGTGGGGACAATACATGCAATCTTGTTTTGATTTATTCTCCAGAAGCACTATTGAATTGCAATATGAATCCAACTTCTTATTTAACCATCATTAGAAAATAAGTAGATGTGATATGTATGTATGTAAGAAACAAAAACAAAGACCAAAAGGATGTGAAAGTCAGTATCTACAAAACAGGTCACTCTTCAGCCTTCAACCAAATCTATTAAAATAATAAACCTCTCAGCTGTCTACATCATACATTTATTATTCAACAGGTCAGACTCATCTTTTATAGAATTCTTTAAATCAAATATAGTGGCTCTGGTTGTAAGTAAAATTCTTTCTGCAGCCCAATGATTTTTCACAAACTTTACTGTTTGGGCTGCGATTAAATTAAAAAGAAATAGACACATTTATTCCATAATTTTAGGATTCTAGAATCTCAGCATTAGAGAAAGAAGTTCAGAGTTTAGAGGATAGGTTAATGACCCTGCAAGAAGAAGGAAGTATTCACTATGATAGAAAGGATAAAGATGCTGTATCCAGTAGGGAGAAGACCCTTAAAGCTGAAGTATGTATACTATTCCTGCTATCAATTTTAATGACTCCCTTTTTCACTACAGGGTGTTGAAGAGGTCACTGTAGCAAAAATAATGAAGACACTGTTCATGTTTGGAAAACAATAAGTAACATCACCTGTTTATCACTTCATTTAAAAAAATTTTACTCATACTCAAAAAAATTTTTATAAGACAGAAAAAAAACACTGTATTCAGAAAAAGAAGGCTTTGAAAGCTCCGCCTTTGCTTTTTTACCTTGACCACTTCCTGTATCTTACAAGGTGATCAAAGTGTTTGACTAGAAATAAGAAGATACTGTATCCAGTGGGGAAAAGACCCTTAAAAGCTTTAGTAAGTATTGTCCCATCTGCAAACTGACTGTACCCAGCAGCATTAGAGGAAATTAGTATGACTTAAAAAAATTAAATATATTACTAGCAGAAAAATTATCTTTTGGTCAATTAAAGCAAAATGAATGACAGTCATCCTAAAGTCAAGGAATAAAAGAAGTATGGGGTTTAAAAGTACTTTAAAAATAAAATTTTATTATCTTGTCAGGAATAGATAGTGGCATATTTATTTGAATCATTATTGCAGTTTCTCTATGAAAACAAAGTCTCTTTGATTTGTATTAAAAAAAAGAACAGTTTGAAAAATAAATGTATGGATCTCCTTCCACCAAATTTATTTCTACTAAAAATTGATTGTAAGCTATACTTAAATGTTTATGACTTTAAAATGAGTGGTTGTTTTTATTTCAAACCATAATTTTATTATTTGTTTTGCTTTATTTTGGAATTTTAAGAAGAAACTAACACCTCAAAAAGGTTATTCAATATACTTCTTGGTCCCACAATGCATGTTTTCATTTAATTTTACCAAGACTGTCTCTTTAATGTTATGCTTATTGACCAATTGATGATATTGAAACAAAATTTTACTTTTGATGTGTGACTTAGACTATTTACAGTTGTAATGACAAATGTATATGAAAATGTTTGAATTGTTAATATTCTACAGCAGCTTGAGTTCGTACAATATTGAATTGTAGTAAAGTTAATTGATATTCAAATTAAGTGCTTTCCTCAACATTTATGTCCATTAAACATCTGTTTTGTAATACATGTTGTGTCATAACTTTATTGATCTCAATGCTTTAAAGCTTTATTATTTGGATATCACTTTAGGAAAAATATTCATCTTTATTCCATCGCTTGGCAAAATATCATTTAATCAGTAACTATCACCAAAAACAAACAACTTTAAGATATTGTCTGAAATTTATATTTTAGTGCATGTCTTGGTGCTTTTTGAAATTACATAACACAATTTATTGTGCAATTCAATGAATTCCAAAGTTTAGAGAAAAAATCAGATTGGCATGGAATTCTTGTATGAAGGAAATAAGAATTGACTGTTATGTATATATGTATCTATAAAGTTTATAAAAGTTAGATGGAGAGCAAAACAGTATAATCCTTATGGAATGAAATATTGATTTTACTATGTTAGCTAATGTTGAAACCACCTGACAAATGGCTATTATATATACATGTTCATATTACAAAGTTCTGAAAAGTTAATTTGCATAAACCAGCATATCCTTATGGAAGGGAATACTTATTTCACTACATGGGCCACAGTTGTAAACCATCTGAGAACCACTTGGGAAATGAACACATAAGGGAACTTACAAATAGTCTAAAGAGTTCTTGCACTTAGATTTGATAAGGTTGTTGAAACAAACTTGAAACAATTTTTAACTCAGACAATCAGATCAATTTCAAGGTTAAAGTTTAAGTGTTAATGATGGAATCAATTTAAAAGTTGGTTAAATACTTGTCACAATTGTATTACTCATATTGTTTGTAATTTATTCAACATCTTGTTTTTTTTCCTCATTGGAAGAAAGTTAATGTGTAAACCATATTGTATTTATGATTTTAACTCAAAATTGACTTTTATTTTCTTGTTTGTTTAGATTTTTACTTCAGTTTAAACATTTCACAAATCTTTTTCTTGGGCTAATATTTTACCACCTAAATCCTTTTGAACTAAATGTAAAACACCAACTGAGTGAAACAGTTGTTCATATTTCCACCTACATTCCTCTGAAAACATATTGACAGGGAAAATAAATGAATATGTTTGCTAAATCATACCAGACATTGTTTAATGTGTTAGGTATGTATGATTGGTAATAACTGCTAATTACATCGGGATAGAAATAAGCATAAAAATGTATTAAGAGTTGAGCTCAGTGTCATAAAAAGTTGGACTAACCCACCCCACCCTCACAGTTCAAACCTATTGGAAGGTTAACTTTCAGTTTTCAGCAGTGTACCTCATACATATTGGAAGTAATAAAACATTAATAATTGATTTTATTATTCCACCATACCACAGTAGAGGTGCATTATGTTTTCTGGTACATGCATCTGTCTATTTGTTAGTCTGTCTGTTGGTTTTTAGGTTAAAGTTTGGGTATCAGGTAGTGGCGCACGTCAACTTGAAATTTAGTACACATGCTCATTATGAAAGGAAATTTTTAAAATACTTGCAAATTTAGGATTTTGACCAACATAGAAATATGATAGTGTGAGCTAGGCATGGTGCCTTATCAACACATATTCTTGTTTCATGTTAAAGTTCCCAGAATATTTTAATTAACAAACTTTTATTTATATGACCTTTTCAATGTATAAAAAGGAGATGTGTGCTAAGCATCAATGAGACTACAACACAAAAACAAAAATAATTTAAATACATTGAGTGGGCAACATACATTCTTCAACAAAACAATATGTCTGGCCTGAGTCTTTGAAATAAAAATTACACTTTGTATACTTGGTGTTTTAATTCTGCTGTACACACAGGTTGGTAAAGTCATTCACAACCTGACATTCTGATTTAGCTATTTTTTAGGAAATATTGTCTTTTTAAACTTTATATGCCTGTTAACATAATAAAGCCTGAAATCTTTGTCTGATGACTTTTACATTTGTTTTATATGGACAGTCCAATTCACATGGATCATTAAAATAAAAATTTAATAATGAATTAGATGCAATATTTTGATGTTGATATTTATAATTGAAACCACAAACATGCAATTTACTGCAACAACTGAAGTCATCAACTAATGATAAATTCATAGTTTAAATGTACTTTCTGGTATTATTAACAGTAATTAGATACAGATACCAATATAGCTGTGTCACGATTAATAATAAGCATTTACATGGTTAAAATCTCCCTGATCAGTTTTCAAAATATATTATGTTACAGACTTTTTGTTTGAAATTATTTGCCTGATTTTATTGATCCCAGTGGTATGATTAATCAAAATCTAGGAAGACGTAATCAAATTTTTATGCCCCTGCAGTAGCGGAGGGGGCATTAAAAGAGGGGCAAAAGATACCAGAGGGACAGTCAAACTCATAGATAGAAAATAAACTGACAACACCATGGCTAAAAAATAAAAAGACAAACAGACAAATAATAGTACACAAGACACAACATAGAAAACTAAAGACTAAGCAACACGAACCCCACCAAAAACTGGGGGGTGATCTCACCTGTCGTGTTGCTCATGTTATTACAAATCCAGTAAATAGTCTTAATTCGGTAGGTCACATTCGTGGTGAAAAAGGAAGTGGATTGTAATTACGACATAAGGAACATATCCGATATCATCTGTGAAACGGTTATTCCATTAAGTTTTACCCTTGTACGTCTGTCCGTACGTCCCGAAATTAGTTTCCATTCTCTTACTTTAGTTTGCCTCATCAAAATGTTATGAAACTTATTATACACAATGCTCATTACCACAAAACACAGATCAAGTATGAATTTGGGTGGCATCGCTTTTACCTTTCTAGAGTTATGCCCCTTTACAAATGGAAAAATTGCAGAATTTTTAGTTTCAATTCTTTAACTTAAGTTTGCCTCAACAAACTGTTATGAATCTTATACACAATGCTTATAACCACAAAACACAGATCAAGTTTGAATTTTGGTGGCGTCACTTTTACTGTTCTTAAGTTATGCCCCTTACAAATGGAAAAATTGCTGATTTTTTTGTTTCTGTTCTCTACCTTAAGTTTGTCTCAACCAAATGTTATGAAACTTATTCACAATGCTTTTTACCACAAAACTCAGATCAAGTACGAATTTGGGTAGCATTACTTTTACCATTATTGAGTTATGTCCCTTTATAATGTACTATGCAATCGGGGGCATCATCTGTGTCCCATGGACACATTCCCCATTTATTTCTGTATATCTTACTTTGTATAAAATATGTATTGATACAAAAATAATTCAGTAACAAATCTGTAATAGTACTATTTTACTCATTAGTCAACTTCTAGAGATAGGCATTTCACCACTTCTTGCTTTCCAAATAGAGGAGAAATGTTGCATGTGTGTCAGCTTACACATTTTTAGCTCACCTGGCCCGAAGGCGTCCGTCGTCCGTCGTCATCGTCGTCGTTAACTTTTTACATTTTGAACTTCTTCTAGAGAACCACTGAATGGAATGAAACCAAACATGGCATGAATGTTCCTTATGAGGTGCTGACCAAGTGTTGTTACTTTGAAGCCGATCCATCATCCAAGATGGCCGTCAGTGGGGACTTAGTTTAACATAGGACCCTATGGGAAATACATACAAATGTCTTCTTTTAGAGAACCACTGAATGGAATGAAATCAAACATGGCATGAATGTTCCTTATGAGGTGCTGACCAAGTGTTGTTACTTTGAAGCCGATCCATCATCCAAGATGGCCGTCAGCGGGGGACTTAGTTTAACATAGGACCCTATGGGAAATACATACAAATGTCTTCTTTTAGAGAACCACAGAATGGAATGAAACCAAACATGGCATGAATGTTCCTTATGAGGTGTTGACCAAGTGTTGTGACTATGAAGCTGATCCATAATCCAAGATGGCCGCCAGCGGGGGACTTAGTTTAACATTGGAAACGATGGGAAATACATACAAATGT